GTAGTCAAGAATTTTCATTTCCATTTCTATTTTGTAGGTAAGGCAACAACACCTAACACGATTCCGCCAGTTCTTAGTAAATGAGCTGGAAGTGGCGACAGACAGAGATGTAAAGGACAGGATTTTCTTTGTATCGTCACGTGAGGTTAGATCTTTGTGTTCGTTTGTCCTATCAAAATCATCAAAATTCCTCCGTTGTGAGTTGCCATCCAGTTCACATAGTTCATATTCAGAGCACATCTGCTATAAGCAACAACGTTGTTTCCTTACTACGTTTCAGTTCGATAGCCTGTTTAAGGAACTTCTAGAAACCATGATCATTGTTCCTTTTGACACAATTCTCTAGAAGTTTGCAAAATGCATTTAGCGATGCGTTCTAATGCAGGGTTATTTTTCTTAATATATTCAGGTGCTTGACGCTCGTTTGAAGGCTCGAGGACTTATCAACAAACCTTATCAGATGGATGGACACCAAATGAGAGCTATGGAATTTGAGATGTTCGAAAAACAGTTTGAACAGTGTATCTCAAGGTATCCACATTGAGTTTATTGTAAAACTAGCTACCTTTTGTAACCTTTACTTTAGAGCAGCTATCCGAACGAAATTCGAAGCTCATAACCGACGAGCTCACGAAATAATAGCGCGTATGCGTGCTAATGTAGATGTAGTTCACGGAGTAGCCTCTTTTACGAAGCAGCATCTTGAACAGCAGTTACAGGTCGGATTTGCACACCATTTTAATTGGTCATGAAAAAAAGTCTCACAAAAAGACTCGGAAACTGAAAAAAAAAAACGAAAATCCAAGTATTTTGGTAGTTTGAAATCTAGTCCATGCTATGCGCATTCGTTCAGACTGTCATTGCCATTGCCACCTGTTTTAGCAATTGATACATCTCTTTGCAGATAAGCGCTCAAGTTTTCAATGACTGCCGTATGAACTTCGCGCAGTTTGAGCGTGCGTACCGTGAACAAACCGAGCGGCTCAGAGCTGAAGTGCATTTAAAGGTGAGCTCAGTTTCTGTTCCTAGTAGATTCTTAAATTTATTGGTTGCGGCATTGCCGAAAGCATTATTTGCTCACGCGGCCAGTATGAAGACGAAATCTTCTAATCATCAAATTTTCATCCAATGTTACTTAAACGCATATACCTAATTTTAATTCTGGTGCTTGACAGTTATCATTACAGGTGTCTGCTGACTTTAGCGAAGAAATTATGAGACTGGAAGCGATCATAGACCGCTTCAATATGCCATTTATGGATACTACACAAGGAATCATTGAGTATAAGCGGGTAAGCTTGTTTTTTTGTTAGTTCTAACATTTCTGTTAACTTGAAATTTCGCACTGTGTTCCCTTTATTGGATATGGCTTCCATCACCAGAATCGTCAGTTAAGCCTACCTTTTGTCCAGGCACTAGCTGAGTTCACTGACAAATGTGTTAGCTCCGATCTAGAGGCGAGGTGTACTGGTGGTTTAATGTCGCGCATTTGGAATCTTGAAAACGACATGTTCCGTGAGTGCACTTTTCTCTGTTTTTAT